TCATATTGGTCCCTTTTTTTACTTAAAATGACATTACATAATATTGTTTTCTCGTTAGACCAAAACCTATTTCTTGCTTTCCCTTTTGCTTTGGCTTCACTTTGAGAAATAAATTGAAATATACTGTGCCTACTTGGAAAGGGATCAAGATTTTATATATATTGATAGTCACAATGTTTTTGAGTACATTTTTGCACACCTCAAGATGAATGCCTTCTCAGGTGATTTTAAAAACATACCCTCCACATTAATTAATCCATTTAGGAAAATGAATTTTCTTTTAGTGTTGGTCCCAAAATTTTAAAATTTAAATATAATTTATAAGATGATACTTAACTTACTAGTGGATTCAACTAAGGAGTTAAAGCTTTGGTCTCTAATTAATTAAGGACAAGACAATATTAAAGCTTTTGTTTGTAAAGTTGTTTTCTAAGACTTTTGTACATGTCCAAAAGAGAATTAGAGGGTGTTTTGCAAAGTTTAAAAAGTAATTTAGTTAAAAGCAAATTCTTCTCTTATAAATTAAAAAATTTATTGGAGGGAAATTCAAAAATTAGCTTTTTAAGTGACTTTCAAGTAAATTTTAAGAAAGGTACACATCCAATTTACCCATGTTTTTAGTGGAAAAACAATCTAACAACTTTTCAATTCAAGATTTACAAGTCCTCAAAAGCTTAAACTCAACTTATTAATAATAGTTGGCTTCATACTGAATATCAGGCTTAATATAATAAATCATCTATTAACTATTACTTTTTTTTTATTTTAGTCTAGATACTTTATTTTCTTTCAAAATCATCTATTAACTTTGAAAACTGTTTCATTTTCATCTACCCCATGTAACTCCGTTAACAGAGTTAATGAAATTCTACATATGGGATCACGTGCTGCCATGTAAGCAGCCACATGGCAGGAGCAAATTTTCCAACAACAGTATTGTTTCTCTTTCTTTCTTTTTTTTGGCCACATGAAAGGGGCAAATTTCCAGCGGCATTTTTTCTCTTTCTTTTTTTTTTTT